CTTGTCTCCATAGAAGGCATGCTCTACGTTTTGGCTTTCCGCGTTTCCCATGGCTTCACAGTCTGCAAGGGGAAAGATCAGGGACCATTAAAGTCAGCAAGGCTTGCTGTAGCAGCGGTTACAGTAATTCAACAGTTCAACAATTAATTAAGGGAGCTGGCAATTGTACCAGCTCCTTACAGTTACAAATCAGATAAATCAGTACAAAGAAAGAAGGCAGATCATTGCTATGCCAGGGTGAATGATGAGCGTAGAAGAGGGAAGGACTGAACCTTGAATAGTGGTCTGGTCTGGAGCCAGTTTATCAGAAGGTACACTATTAATCTCAGCCACGCACATGCTTACTTGACTACTGATATTAACTAATCCTTCACAATTCTAGCCAACAATACAAATTCAAAAAATCAACAAGCGGATAGGCATGACTGTTTATCTGCATGCAACGAGACACCAAAAAGTAGAAGGACAAACATCTTTATTTGACATTTCGGGTTTTTTTTTGCTAGGAACCACAAGTTGAAGCACCAAATAGCAAAGTACAAATTCAACTATTTGTTAGCAAGCTAATGATAGGTTTGATTTCTGGAACAAAAAACAGAGCAACATTAATCAGGTACAAAGATCCCCACACAAGAGAGCTGTATTATGAAAAATACATTATCATGAGTGACTCAGACTATACAAAAATAACCTTTCCTTTCTGCTCACTCTGAAGCAGATAGCTAGATCTAAGCACTTTGATCTAGCAAAGAGAAAATCAAGCTGGAAGATAGGGACTGGGTTTCTGTCCCCTTCTCCATATCCAGCCTCCTGCATTATTAAGTTCTGCACGCCCCTCCCTGAAATGGGTTTCCCATCTAGCAGATGGCAGTCATGATCTGGATTCAGCCTTGGAAAACACTTTGAGATCTGTGCTCTCACTCAACAAATGTCAGAAATATTTTTTTAGTAGTATTGGTTCCTTCTGAACCAAAGAGCAAGACGAAGAGCAAGAAAAGTAAATGCTAAAGTACATGGCCATTCAAAATTAAATAGGAGGGATCCTGAATCACATAAGACAATTATATTTAGATAAATAGTCCATTAATCATTAACAGAAATTCCAAGACAAAGCTTCCTCATTTTAAGGTACTTCTATTAGTCTGGGTTGAAAAAAAGAACTCTGTCTCGACAGTAAAATATTCTGGAGGTTTTAATTTCTCCAGGCAATTTCTTCTCCTTTAACAGGACATGCCAATAAGTATTGAGCCAAGTATTCACAGGCTGAATGTGCCCATGCGTGCTCCCTCACTATCTAAATATACAATATCACTATTGCATGAAACTGAATTAACCCTACATAAAATACACCAAAAGCAATGAATTGACTGCGTTAAACGTGGGCACAGCAGTTGTGCCGTAGGCTGCTCTGGATACGTAGAGTGGAACTCAGCTTATATAGTAACATTTCTGAAAACAGAGGACAACACTACTTAGTATTTCTGCCCAGCTAGGTAGGTCGCATCTGAGGCTAAAAGTCTGCTCAGTGCCAGAGCAACGGGCGCCTCCAGAAATATCTGGACATTTCGGTATCTAAAGTAAATATACTCACGTGCCAAGGAAACCATACCAAGAAATACCCTGTGTCTACTGGATGTAATGGCTGAACTCCCATTGACTGTCACAAGACTTGGTTATCATGTGTCGTTTAGAAAAATAAATGCTGAACAGAGAGTAGGTTTTAATCTAAAAAAAAGTAACAGCATTATAAATCCCCAGGCAGGGTTTATTATTCCTTAGAAGCTACAGACCTCTGATATGGACTGGACAGAAAAAAGAACATCAGCTGGCTACTTTTGAAGCACTTTAGAGCACAAAACCTGCATTTTGTTCTCCACACTGATGCCTAAAGCCAGACCTCAACACTCCCCCTCTTGCAAAAGAAACTCTCTTGGGGTAATACTTTTAGCTGCTTTGATTCTGAAATTCTTACTAACCATACTTTCATTTGAAAGGATTTCCACTAGCTGCAAAGCACATCAGAGCATGCAGTCATTTTTCCCTCATCTCCAGCAATGAAACCATCACCTCAGTATCTATTTAAGGAGAAAAAGCAATTCTAAAAGTTCTCTTGAAACCATGAAAAATTAAACGAGAGGCTCTTTACCTTTTGATATGGAGCTGCAGAAGGGCAGGAGTGTCCTAGCACACTGCACAGCCAAGCACATTTGCTGATGAAAACACTGTGCTGCAGAAAGCAGCACTGTGCCACCACCTCGAAGTAGAATCCATGCACACCAGGCAGAATGACACCAAACCAAAAAGAAGCAGCAGCCCAGGCTGCATCCCCAGCCAGAAAAGGCTCTCCTGGAAGGAGGAAAATCTTTCCTCCACAGACGCAGACGGCTACAGGAATGTTTACTGAGCAGTTTCACACAATGAGAAGTATCTGCTAGATACCTGCGAGAGAAGTGCCAGACTTCAAAGTAAATAGCTGTCCCTTTTTAACTCTAGGTATTGGCGCTTTAGGTGAGGATGCCTTTGCAAATCCTGCAGACAGCTACTATCCAGGTGATTAGCCCAGAGCTTGCTCCTGCACGCAGAGTGAAGCCTTACCGCAATCCCTCCATCTTCCCCAGCTATATGCTGCAGGTTGACATGCATGCAAGTCCCACTAGTTTTCACTAGTTGCCCCCAAACCAGTTCAGGTGTTTATAGGATCTTGCAGTCAAGTTCACCAAAATGGGAAAAATCAAACTCAGAAGGAAAACAAAAGACTATTTTTAAAGCTTAGTTTTGCTGGGGTAATGAGCTGAACGCATGTGCACCAGCACCAGCACGAGAAAGCCCACCTGCAGATGCAATGAGGACAGGCAGCATGGCTGTAGAGCCATGTAGGAGCCAGAGGAGGGGGGGAGAAGGTGGCAGGGGAGGCCGTGGTGCAGATGCAGTGTCCTCAGCTAGCAGGAGTGAGGCAGCAGACACCCTGGGGCAGAAACGCCTCCAACTGCTCCAGCGACAACTGCCAGATGCTGCCTGTCTATGGCTTAACTGAATTTAGCACACTCAATGAAAAAAATCTGTGTCAAATTAAGAAAATGAGTCATATTAATGGGACTTGCATGTAAACGCTGATAGGACAAAGGCTCCCCTTGTTAGCTCGCCTGCCTGAATCCAAAGGTGACCATTAAAGACCTATTGAGGTACCCACAGGATACTACATAAATCAAGTGTGACACGTCTTGATGCTTGAAACAGGTTTGTCAAGCATGGCCAAGGATTGCGACGTGTCAAAAATCTGTTCTGAATTATTCTCCAAAGCCAGCAGAGATTAGTGCACACAGACCATTATCACAAGCAGAACCAGTTGGAAACTTTTCAGCAGAAAATGTCGATTCATCAAAACCCAAATTTTTTGTGGGAATAGACAGGTTTTGATGAAAGACTTCTCCATTCCAAGAGGAAGACACATGAAAACCCAAGCAGGGAGACAGGCACGTCTCCTAGAGGAGATACCAGCTCAGTGACTCAGTCACTTGCCAAAGAAGCAGAAGATCAAGATCTGTATCTGCAGCCCAAGTGAAGCAAACAAGGGGCTGTGACTCTGTTCCTCCACATCCTCGAGGGGCAGCCTGACCATAAAGCTATGACTGCTCTGGGAAAGGGCTCCCTCTCCTACAAGATCTGTTCCATCCTGGTTCAGAATAGGGAAAATATCAGTCATGGAAGTCCAGGAAGGATCAGGAAGGTCCGTCTATTGCACACCGATAGACAGTAAGTTTTTTTTTTAATTATTTTTATCATGGAAAACAAAGACTCAGTATGTGACTGTGATATCAACATTAGGATATCACCAGGGAGAACAAAAATTCTGCAGCAAATCTTTGGAAAAAACAATGCTCCTTCTATCAATTGCCCTGCACAGACTGGTTGAACTCTAGCTGACCTGCTGAGTCTTTGCTGGCTGAGTCATATAAAATGGTTGCAGATAAAGAAGATCATATTCCAAATGACCACTGATGATGGTCCCATCTAAGAACACCATTTCATTTGAAATCTGTAATTTTTGTTTCTCTTCCCTTCTCCTCAATATTAAGTATTCCTTAAAAATATTACGAAGCCAAAATATTTGTTCAAAGTAAACTTATGTTACTAACTCTCCAAATTCCAAAAAGTTGGGCCTTTAGATTCCAGGAGAAAATCTGACATATTATTAACTTTCAACCAAATTTGAAGCACCTCGCAAGACAACAGATTGCCAATTTAAATTTAGATTTCTAGTAGGAGGCCCTGGTGACAAATCTGTATTTTTCTCCTGGAGCGAAGCTTGAAGGTTGTGAGAACCAGAACAATGATTAAATCCACAGTGAGCAATGATTCTACAGAAATAAACTTCTGCACAAATCTTCCAGCCAACAACAAAGATTTTTACTGAACTCACAAGAACCACATAGAAAAATGTACGAGGCTAATAACCAAGTGCAAATGTACATATTTTATTGTAATCAACGTGCGCTTTTTCAAAAGGGCAAGAAGGAGACTGAAATTCTACAGCATGTCTTTGAGTTTCCCAGAAACTCCAACAGTATATTCAATTGTTTCCAAATAAGAGCCTTTTAACCAGCCATTTCTTTTTTGTAAGCCATTCTCGTATATGCTAAAGCATGGGATGGACTCCAAAAAGGCCCTGCAGGCGATTCAAATCAGAGGAGGAGAGAGGAGAGAGGGAGGAAGGGATGTCATCAATAGCTGCTTGGTAGCAATTCAAATGCCTTTGTATTGCTAAATGGGTGTAACCATAAACCACATGCAGCTTATCCAATTTTTCCCCTCCCACGAACCATTATACAAACACAGCAAACTCCTCAAGAAAATGTATGGACACACATGTACCTTCCAAGGCAATACTGGTATCCAGCGCAACCTTCCCCAAGAGAACTGTGGCATTTAGAGGTATAGAATTGCAAATGATACCAAAATGAACAGTTACTGGGATTGCAGAAGCTGTCAGCACCTGCCACTCAGCGCCTCCATTACTCCCTCGTCAGAGTCTATGACTATATGCCAAAAACCTGGGGAGAAAGAGGGGAGAAAAAAAAAAAAATCAGACAAAGGGTTATCAGGAACGGGCCATACAGGAGGACATATTCTGCCAAGTCCTATTATCATCACTTACCTAGGAAACATTGTTCAATACAGCATGCAAATGCCATGTTTCAATTTGAATGATACAATCTGATGAGAGTAGAATAAGGGAAAAGCCCAATCAGATGCCTTGAGCCCAATAAACAGAGCTCCTCATCCAGACACTTTCTGCAGTACAATTCCCTGATGAAATGAAGGTGCCCTGCAAAGGAGCAGTCAGAGCAGAGAACACACCTGTGCCTGCTGCCTGGACAGGGCTCACAGAATCACAGAATTGTAGGGGTTGGAAGGGACCTCCAGAGATCATCGAGTCCAACCCCCTGCCAAAGCAGGTTCCCTACAGCAGGTCGCACAGGTAGGCATCCAGGCAGGTCTTGAACATCTCCAGAGAAGGAGACTCCACCACCTCCCTGGGCAGCCTCTTCCAGTGCTCCGTCACCTCACTGTAAAGAAGTTCTTGCGCACATTGGTGCGGAACTTCCTATGCTGCAGTTTCCGGCTGTTTCCCCTTGTCCTGACATGGCCTCCAAACATGGCCTCTCACAAAGGCACTCTCTGAGGGACACAGGCTTAATCTCTGGAGGCAAACCACCCAAGAAAGGCCTGAAACCAAGAGATCCCAGACAACATGCCTCTGTGCCGACAGCCTATGAAAAGGGTAGTAATCCCAGCAGTGATTTCATTAACATTTTTCAAGGACAAATCAGAGGCGTACGGCAGAGCGTTTACATGCGTTTTTGTGCACGGTGAAAAGCTCTTGGGGTTGATTGCACCCACAAAAGCGTGGATACAAGAGACAGCCTGTGCCTACCTAGGCCTTAGGCCAGTCATTAGAACAGTCCTGAAGTCACGTAGGTGCTCATGCACAAGCCCAAGCAATTTCTTAGCTTGGTATGACTGGAAGACACACAGGGACCGGTCCTGTCAGGCACCACAAGCCCACCAGAGGAGCCAGGGCTCTGCCCACACCAGCTCCAGTCACACAGCTGCTCCTCCATGGCCCTGCAATAGTGTCAACAAAATGCCGCAAGCCCAGCTGTACAACTCACACATACCTCCAAAAGACTCAAGTAAAACAAAACAAAAGGCTTTGGATGAGATTACCGATGCCTATCAGGTTATTAGAGCTATCTGGTGGGGAAACTGTGATCCCCATTTGGCTGGGTTCTCAAAAGAAATGAGCGTCATCGGCTCCTTTCCAAATTGAAAACATTCGCGTTTTCTTTTTCCTCCTTCATGTTCCCCTCTCTGTTCCTCACCTCCCCCTCTCCCCCCAAGCTATTGGTTGAGTTCTGTCTGAAAAGCGGTTCATGAATTGCTCAGGAGCTGACAGAAATTAATAAAATGAAGCTCATTTATATTGAAATGGACTCATTATCATGCCAGCTGCCAATAGTTTATAAGTCAGGAATCTTGCTGACAAACAAGGTCCTGCAGGCAAGAGCCTTTCCACCTGCATCCACCGCATGACGGATAATCCTATGAAGTACATTCCTCACCTCCAAAGAAATAGGATTTGTGATAATCTTTTTTTCAGATCTGTCTGCTGTGGCCACAGAAAACGTGTCCAAAAGAGGAAAAATACAGATGTGGCTGAGCATTTATCAGGTTTTCCATCATGAAGTGGTTTTTGAGGAGTCTGTAATTCAGTCAGAAAGATCTGCTCCAGCCTGAAGCCAACTCTGCTCACTTCTGCAAAATACTAGCCACAATGTGCCCTGCTCCACACACCGCTTTGCTCCTCCAGTGTAAATTATGCTCTGCTTCTACTCATGCTCTGCATCAAAATTTAAATGAATTGCCTTGTTTGTTAAAAAGGTGAAAAGATCCAAAGTGGAGACCCGGAACTGGTAGCTGAGTGATCCAAATTCTCACTAAGCTCTACTGCGTCTGAAGGGCTGGCAACATCCATTGCAAGAACAATGACTGTTCATGCACACACGGTTCCTTCAGAAGATTATGTTCCCTTTCTGAAAATGATAGTTCCTATTAACTTCTTCAACTTGGAGAGACTTTCTCAAAAGAAAGCAAGCTGCACCTTTCAAGGAAAACATCAGGTTTTCATATTTATCTTTGCCTGTCATTAACACGCACTGCAATGGTCCTCATCTCCACACTCTGTACTTCACCCCCGCAGCCCCAGCTCTCCTGCTCAGTAGCTCTGTGGGTCCTTCATGTGGAAGCCTTCAATGAGGTCTCCCCTCACACAAGCCACCAGCCAAAGGGAAGTCCCTGAGGCAAAAAGGGATGTATGCGCTCCTCCATCAGGAGAAAAGACAGAAGCAAAAGAAGCAAAATGGTTTGTTACAGCTTGCTTCCCAAATCCCTCGCAGGATATGCTTTAGGTGTTCCTGGACACTTGCTATGCAAGCAGAGCCTGATCAAGGGGCAGCTAACTGCGTGCTCAGATTACCAGTATCTCACAGCAACTGCTCTCAGGGCTGACAGACAGCTGCAAGCACGCACGCTTGGAACAGCCCACCTCATTAGAAAAGAACCATCAGAGGAAGATTTTCAATCTATGCTCAAGACCAAATATTCAGTCTTAGAGCCGGCTCCTGCAAACGTGCATGCACAAACAGATATATGTACACATCTATGATGCATGTGTGTATGCATGTATGCTAATGCCTACATATATCAGTGCAACTCCTTGTTCTTTGAAGGCTTGGAAGTAGCACAGCTGTATTTATTTCATAGCCACAAAACAGTGCCTTGAAAAATCAGGCCAAGGAGTTCCCACAGGGCTCAGAACACAGCAGCTTAAGTCAGTTCAAACTGAGGGAGCTTGCAGCAAGCCACGATGAATGGCTTAAATGAGAGCATAGTAAGGAAGAAGAATATATTAAAGGAGCACCTAGTTATTCATCACATCTGCTACCTGTGATTCTAGGTACAGCAAAGAGAGTTTTGACTTTCATATGATGAGTTTACAATGACAGAAGACTAAGGAAAAAACATCAGCACACTTGCTTTCTTTCTGTTTGCAGACACTCAGCATGAGCTTTAATGGATGAAAAATATGAAAGCTACAGCTTTCTAAAAGCCTCCTTTTCAAAGCAGAACCTTTCCTGTCCAGCAAGGAAAAATTAGCATGCAAGTATATCTCCTTGTCCAGCAAACACAAAATGCTGGCTAGAAGAACGACAGCTCTCCTTCAATTCTATTTTTACTTTTCTATTTTATGCTGGGTGGTTTTGTCAGATTCAAAATGCAACTGCAAATGTGAGACCAGTTAGTCATTACACAAATCTTCATCCAGCTTTGTGAAGCCCTCACACATTCTACTGCAAAACACCAGGATGGATATACATCGACAGGAAACAGCAGTCATTTGATACAGAAAATATTTAATGTTAATCAGTACCTTTGGGCTGTATTCTCCACCCACTATCCAATCCTATTCCAAACCACTGTAGCTTCAGTGTTCGATCCTGCCTACTGAAACGGTGAATCACTTTACTTGTAACCGGAGGCCATATTTTGTTAGCCTTTATTACCACTTGTTAACATGAATTGCTGCCAAAATCAATGGTAGCATCTACCCTGAGAAGAAAGTAAATGCTCTAGCGTGCTCCAGGGTCCTGCTGCCCTGACAGTTCTCTCCTCATCCTGTATTTCTGAGCTGCCCTTGGCAAAACAAAACATAGCAACCCACGGGAGATGGATGTACAGATAATGGATGGATGGGTGGATGGATGGATGGATGGATGGATGGATGGATGGGTGGATGGATGGACTGGATGACTGGTTGGGTAGGTGGATGGGAAGGAGGCAGGCAGCAAGAAAGGTGGAAAGAAAGGCAGGAAGGCAGGAAGGCAGAAAGGAAGGAACAGAGGGAGGGAGGGAGAAAGGAAGGGATGAAGGAAGAGAGGTTTCTCTAAGACCAGATCTTTGAGATGGCTTCCTGTGATGAGGGTACATACCTGAGATCAGAAATTCTCCAAATTTTCTTGTTCTCAGCATAATCTCTGAAATAAGTATGATGTCACTGAGCTCAGAGCCCAACTCTAGTGGATTGCAGAAGCTGGTTGACTTCTTTTAAAGTAGCTAAAGTCAAATATACTCCTCTTAGTGTTTTTTTTTATATAAAATGCCATATAAGCTTTTTGTTTGTAAGGAAAATGAATTTCAAACCAACTACTCCTTATGCTACATGTCAAAAAGAACTCCTGAATCCATAGTCAGATGATGATGACCATGCAGACAAGGCTGGGAGGGATGTCCACACATCTGCTAGAACTGGCCAGCAGTGCTGGAATTGCAAAAACTCTTCATAACCACCTCACTAACATGTACCGTTTGCATCTGTCATAGTTAGGAGAACAATGCTGTGTGATTGCTCCAGATGAAGAGGAGGGGAAAGAAAAATAAACCCACATTCTCTTTGTACAGAGTTCATAATGAAAAGATGTGGGAAGCCTTGTTCCTCAAGCTGTAGCACCACACCTATGAGAATTTCTAAGGAAGGGATGAAAAAAGAAAGAGAGAGGAAGGTCTGTCAGGAGATGCGCAATCTCTGTATAAGCGACAATCATCCCCAAATCACAGCTAAAGAAGACCAAATCATAGGCATGGCACTGACAAAGTACCTTGATAATGCACTAACAGAGCAGGCAGCCAGCCCAAGGGGATGCTCCCTATTCAGGGTTTCTATATTTATACTAGGGGATGCAAATAACTGACCCAGTTGCAGGTTTGTTTGTTTTCTAATCACTTTTACAAGTATCTTATGTGTTTTCAATCTTTCTCCTTCCCTTTCCTTTCATTTTTAATGGTGGGAAAATCCCCCTTTCTTCCCTTCGGGAAATCTGCAAGGATTTACACGTTGAAAGAAAAAGGCAAAGCAGGGAAAAAGGATTCTAATTTCAGATCATCAGACATAAGCAAATCTATGGGAAGCCAACAGGGCAACTCCCTGGAGCCG